TGTCTGTTGTGTAAATGTCCAGTGTTTTTTGTTGTTGTTGTTCTGACTTATTTTGCTGTATATAATTCTTCCAAATTCCCTTCACTTTATTGAAAATGGCTGCCTTTCACCCTTTCTTACGTCTGTATAGTACTGCCTGTTGTGGTTACACCACATCATCTTGGTCCAGCGGTCCACTGATGGGCATTTTGGTAGCTTCCATGTCCTAACTATTGTAAATTATGCGGCTATGAACACTGTGGAACATGTGGGGTTTTTTGTTGATGTTTTGCATTCTGTGGATAGATGCCCAAGAATGGTATTGCTGCGTCCTACGGTGTTCCCATTCCGCGGCCATATTTTATTTATCACACAGACCAATCCTGACACAGTGTAGGAAGGAACCATACAAAGTTGGGGTTGCCAGGAAGCAGGACTCATCAGGGGCCATTCTTGGAGGCTGGCTAACCCAGAAGTAGGCATATTATTTTAGTACAATAAATGCAGCCACTCAGTTGGCAGGATGTACAGCTGTTAGTTAAGTGTGGCTGTATTTCAGCTGCATGAACCTGAAACCAGAGTTCTTTAGGGTGCTCTGACCCTCTTTTCTTTTACCCTAAGACCTGAAGGGCCCTTTACCCCTCTCATCAGAATACAACCTGCTGGACCCACAGGAGACTAAACACAAGTGGAGGTGGGGTATGGGAAGGATAGCAAAAGGGTAAAAGAGACCAAAAACAGTTGAGAAAGAGAGAGGAAGTGTAAGAAGATGAGGGCCCACCCTCATGTCCAACCTGAGGGTGACCAGAATGAGTCCTGAGGATCCAGGACTATATTTCCATGCCAACAGACTGTTCAAAAGGACAAGTTCGGAGTGGCAATTTCAGCACAAATCTCCCCCACCCTGGGGGCTTTGTGTGGACTTTAAGTCTGAAGGTGAGTGGCTCTGGGATTCAGGGAGATACTGCCATTTGAGACCTTGGGCTGAGAATGGGGAGACAACAACTCCTCACTATCTCACCCTCACCCCCTACCTGGGAACTTTTGCCTGCTCTGATAGCCAAGGTGAGGGCTATACTGTCTCAGAAGCTCTGGTATCAGTCACTTACAGTTTGGTATAAATGAGGTGTGGGAAGGGTGTCAGGGCCACGGGCAGTGATGCGTCACCCTAAACAATAGAGTACAAGGCTTCGCTTCCAGTTTAGAAAATTTCAATCAAGAGAAGAGGTAGGAGGGCCTCCCCGGTGGCCCAGCGGTTGAGCGCTGGGTTGCGAAGCTGCCCGCGGCCTCTGCAGTGCCGGTTCGATCCCCGGCTGCTCCCCGGCCACCGGAGGAGGGTCCCACATGGCGCGCAGACCTCTCCTGCCTCCCACTGCTCTCCTCAGCAGTGTACTTTGGTCCTTCTGCCTGCTCTGCTCCCCGCTCTGGCTCTGGTGAATTCTCTCACCCTCCTGCACTTCTGACTGTACCCAGTGCTTGTATTAATAATAAATAAATAAATCTTTTTTTAAAAAAAGAGAAGAGGTAGGAGAAAACAAAAGTGAAAATAGCTAACTTTTGTCAGGGGATCCTCTATTCCTGGTACTCTGCTGAGTGATTTTACAAGGAATCTTCACAAAATCCCTAGGAGGAAGTATTCTAGGCATCGCTTTTTCTGACCAACAGACGCAGCTCATCAATGAAAGCTAGTGGCTTGTAGATGTGACCCACATTGCTAATAAGAGGTACAGCCTGATGCCAGAGTCTGCTCACCTGACCTGTGTATGACTCCCTCCTAATTTGAGTACTATTTTAGGTTCATCTAGAGTCTCTGGAGCAAGTGCTTTACTGTGAACCCAATGTCCTGGCTGTGCTAGTGCTGCTCTGTTTGGGCACCTCCCATGGGGGAAAGAACAGAGTCTCCGAGGGCTCCCCTTCTCCCAAGTGAGGGACAGGGAAGTGAGACTTGGGAGAGGATGAGGGAGGAGAGAGGATCACCCTCAGCTTGGTGGAGGGCCAGGAGGCCCTTGATTAGACAGGGATCCCCTTGGTCTTGCTGAAAGGGTCAGAGTGGCAGGTGAAGTTATCTCATGTCTGTGACGCTGAAATGGCCTCTGGTGGGGGTGGACATTTAATGTGGACTGCAGGTGCCCACAGAGCTGACCTGGAGATGCCTTGTTGGCTGAGATCTAGGATCTGTGGGTGCTGGTTCTGGGCCTTCACCCGAGGCTTCAGACACCTTGGCTATCATTTTGTTTCTTTCTGCCCCTCCCCTCCCCTGCAAACCCAAATTGGATCCATCAGGGTCCTTCACAGAGCCCACCAGGGCCCCCAACCTTGACCCTCTCATCTTCTGATTTAGTTTCAGTGTCCCCCATCCTCACCTGTCCATAATCATAGACACAGCCCTGGGGTGGCTCCAGATTGGTCTCTGGGGAGCCTGATGGCATGGGTGCTGTCATCACTGAGGGGGGTTATGGTGGGGGATGTCCTGGGATGTCTCCCAGAAACTGGGTGGGGATGCTGGAGGTGGCCCCTCCAGGCTGGGCAAAGGCAGACAGTCCCAGAGGAGGAAGGAGATCCTGTGGAAGTGCCGAGAGAGATGGCACCCCTGGCCTCTTCCTGACCTGTGGGAACCCTTGTCCCAGATGTGGTTTTTGCCTCTTAGGGGATAATGATCAGGAGGGAGAAGGGATACTAGGATTTGCAGTGGTCCTGAAGGGTCCCCTGCTGCCAATAAGGGCCCCAAGCTTGTTCCAGGGTCAGGCTCCAGGCTGGGATTGTCTTTGTGCTTTAGTGCGGGGGGAATTTCCTGCTTCCACCTGGCCCCTTTTCAATGTGCAGGTCTGAGCAGGTGGGTGGCATGTGGGAGAGCGAGTTGAGGGGAGTGGGACAGTAGGGGAGGGGTGCACTCCATTGCTACTCCTGCCTCCTTTTGGGCCCCTGACCAGAATGCAGAACCTGAGTCCTCAGGCAGCCTGTGCCCGCGCTGAGAAGCACACCCCTGCCCTGCATCCGCTATGGGTCAGTCTCTTCTGAGCAGAAGGATCCAACTGGCTTCAAGGACGAGGGATAAAATCACTGGGTTCTGGCTGGAAGGCTGTTTGTGACCATTTGGTGTTCTGGGCCTGGAGGCGTGGGAAGGACCAGGGCTTGGCTTGAACATGCAGCTATTCCATCACACATGGAAACATACCTTTTGGATGCCTGATCATCTCCCTGGGGGCTAAGACACTGGTCAACAAAGTCAGAGTCAGCTTTGTATACCCCCAAAGGGCTTGGGGAGGGGGTACTCTGGGGACCTATCCATCCCTTACCGTCGCCACCTCCCTGCTTTTTCTTCATGCTGGAGCTGTTGGTGACCAGGTGACCAACTCTTCCATCTAAGGATAAATGAACAGCCTTGGGGTCTTGTGAGGATAAGTTTGTGGATTGTATGTGTATGTGTGTGTGTGTGTGTGTGTGTGTGTGTGTGGGGTAACGGAATATTCAAGAAGTTTTGTCAGAAGGGAAGACTGAACTTTGTGGGTCTGACCCTCACCTCTGTGACCAGCGTCCTCTCACAGCAGTTCTGACTCCCCAAAGTCTGAGGTTGGGGCGGTTGGGTGCGCCTCTTTGGAGATGCCTCTGGAGCTGTTCAGTCCTCCTCTGGTTCCTTGTATGCAGTTGGGGGTCTCCAGACTTCTAGGACTCTGGCTCCTGAAGGGTTGGTGTGGGTGTGGACTGTGAAGTCGATGGAGTGAAGGCTCAGGTCACCGGAGTTTTGGTAGACTGTCTGCTTTCTCTTGGATTTGATTGTGGCCATGTGGGCCTTCACGCTCCTGGGTCAGGCCCTCAGGCAAGACTCCAGCAAGGTGACTGGACTGACAAGAAGAGCCGAGGACAATTCCGCAGGGAGAGGCTTGGACATGTACGTGAACTCAGAGTGGCTGAGACACTGTGTTGACCTGGCAACTTAGGCAAAGGGTGAATGCACAGGTAGCACCTCTGCTTTGCTGTCCCTTGGAAAGGGACAAGGTAGGAAGCAGCAGCCCTTGGAGATTCTACTGGGTGCCTTTGCCCAGAGGAGAGCGCTCTGCTGCCCACTCACCTGGGGGCATCTGCAGAGAGGGTGGGCAGGGTGTCAACAAATCCATTTCCACTTTCTTTTGCTTTTCCAAATGTTTTCCAGGCTGTATGGTAGGATCAGTGTAGCTGAGTTCTTGGCCAGAGCCCCAGTGACTCTTGAGGGTGTAGGGGACCTAACCAATGCAGGAAGAGGGGTGGGAGTTCATCTAATGAGAACTCGCCAGGGACTTTCCAACACCCCCCACCCCCTTTCCCTCCCTAGCCAGGCTCTGTCCCCACCCACACTGAGCCTGCTTCTCTGTCTCTTGTCTCACAGGACTTTTATTCTGGAAGAATCAAGACTCTGGAGTTAGGGCCCAGACCCTGAACAGGACCTACCTTGTGGGCTCTTTTCCAGGGCAGTGGTTTTGGGACCCTAAGTGTGGAGCCTTGCTCATCTGTTCTCCCCCTGATCCTCTGTCCCCAGCCTTGCTGGTCTTTAAGTAGAGGGTCCTAGAGCCAGGCCTGTTGGTCTTCTCCCTCTGGTTGCTGAAATACCCACAAGCCCCCATTTTTCTATCCTTTAGCCTCCATCTGTTTTCCTTTCTAGACTCTTCTGGCCTTCTTCCTGCCTGTTCTTGTCAAGCAGACATGGAGTCCGGATCACTATCTAGAAGCTTCCCACCTGCCCGCAGCTCTGGACAAAGAATTTCTCCCAGTTCCATCCCTCTTCCCCATGTGTAGGAGCCAAATGCAGGATAACCAGGATGAATGTTGCCCAAACTGGTCTGGGGCCGGGGTGGGGGGGTTGGGGGTTGTGGGGGTGTGGGGGTGGAGGTCAGGGAGAGAAGAGGGGGAAAGCTTGGACCTGGTTCTGTTGTAGAGCAACCCCGATACAAAACGGGGTGCCTGACTGTGGGTCCTCACCCGCGCGCTTAAAAGGACTTATCCATGCTCTACTGCAGGCACACGTGAAAGGTTAATAAAAGGTTTATTTACAAGGGAAAGGGAAATGAGGAAATGTACAGCTCTGGGAGAAAAGTGGGAGACAAAGTTTTAAATGCGTCCTACCCGATCCGCCGATTAGGAATCCCAAAATGGCGCTCTGAGAGCTGGCCGCCAGCCAGGAGCCGTGAAGCCAGGAGGCGAGCGATCGCGAGCCAGAGAGAGCCCCAGGCCCACGTGTTTGGTTTTTTATATCCAACCTGGCTGCCCAACTCCACCCTCAGGTCCCAGCCACCCTCCCTTGGTGGTGATGGGATTTGTCTTTCCCAGAGTCTTGATGGCTTTAGTCTGGAGTGGGGGTGGAGTCCACAAAGTTAATCCTGTATGGGATTAACTCAGGACATCACTTCCCCCTAACAGTTCTGTTGAGCAAGTGGGGTTTTCTCACGAATAAGGACAAAGAAAAGGGTAGAAAGACTGCCTGTTGCTCCTGTTTAAATTCCTGAACCCCAGTCACAGTTTCCCAAAAAGCCCACCAAGATAGGGTTTTCAGTACTCCCCAAAGACCTGGAGCTTAGTTCTTTCTTAGATGGAACAGGAAGAGGCCAAATGAACTGTAACGAGTCGAGATGGGTTATTCTCAAGGGTCCTTTCCCCTGGTCTGTTTCTTTTATCCAGGCGACCAGACCTTGAGCTGGAGAGGAGGGTGTGAACTGAATACAGGATGGAGGATGGAGGATGGGGGAAGAGAAGGGAATGTGGCCTGGGGGCGCAAGTTACCGATTAACATATTAACACAGGACCTGAGGGCAGGGAAGTGCCTGGGCAAGGGACTGCTGACCTGGGTCAACCCGGGCTGGAAGGAGCACCCCCAGGAGGAGCCCTGGGCTGGTGCTGTCTGGAGGGGCATTTGGCTGCTCTCCGGCTACTTGACCTTCCTGAAGACCTGCTCGCACACGGCATCCCTTGCGGTCAGCTCCTGGGGACAGAGTAGGAATGACAGGAAGAAAGAGGGTTCTTGCCGCAGGAGCTCCTGTCTCAAGGTCCTTGAACTCCACTGAATCCTTCAGGACATCAGCCTCAGCATGTGATGTATGGGGAATTGTCTCATTGTTCCAAACCTCCAAGGTTCACCCCAGAGGAAGGAAGGTAACTGGGCTACGTTTATCTCCAGTTTTGATTTATGAACTTTTGTCTGACTTGCAAACAAACTGGACCTGGATGCCTTATTTCTTCCTCTCTCTACTGCTCCCAGTGCTTTTGTCTTCCTTCCTTGGGCAGTTGGGGAGGTGTGTGGGCGGGGAGGAGTAGACTTATTGGACTTGGGCACAGGGATCACCCCTAGCTGGAGCCACTCGCCCAGCCCTCACCCAGCTTACCAGATACAACATCTCTCCCTCCAGCCAGTGTCTCCAGCCTCGGTTGGGGACCTCTCCTTTCTGCACAGACACCAGTTGCTCCTCTTCCCAGGTCACGATGGTCTGTAGGGGAAAGCAGGTACACAGGAAGAGTGAGGGCAGGACACCCAAAATGCATCCCATTCACACTGACTGGACTACTTTCCCCCCAACATTAGATACCACTTGCTCCAGCCCCTTCACTCTGGAGGAGGGGCTGCTCTGACTCAACAGAACCCCCTTCCCATTCCCAGAGGCCACCAAGGGGCGCCCACAGCTCATTTACAGTGATCAAAGGGCCAGGGCAGAGATAGAGCAAGATAACCAGGGGTGACACCGGAGATGGGGGTGGTGAAGAATGGACTTTGTTGATCTGGAGGGACCTTTGGGATAGAAGACAGATCAGTCCCACCAGAGAATCTCTTTTCTCCTTTTTCTTTTTAAGGACTGCGGAACCATCCATAGGAATGAAAGATCAAGTCCCCTCAATCAGCGCTGGTGGGTCTGGGCATTGTCATGGACATCGCTGAGCTCTCTCATATGACAGGTTCTATCGAACGTGTAGCTCAGAATCTCCAGGATCCTCAGATGCCTTATGAAGCAGATGGACTTTACCCAGAATGTAGCTTGTCACTGAAAGGGTGTAAGTCAGGGAGGGACATGGTTGACTTCGCAGTTAAAAGACTATGTAGACTAAATTAGCCACAATTTTGGGCACCAGCTGAGAAATGAGGGCCTGAGTTAGGAGGTGATTGTGAGAAAGGCTAGAAAGGAAGAGATGAGAGGCCATGAGAACAGCAATGTTCAATAGAAATTTAATGGATCATAAATGCAAACCACATTTATAATTAAAAAATGCCTAGTAGCCACATTAAAAAAGTTAAAGGAAACAAATGAAATTTAATTTTAATAAAATATGTAACCTAACATATCCAAAAGACTATAATTTCAGCATGTGTTCAATATAAAGACTTTAGAGATGTTTTATATTCCTTGTATTTTCAAGATGTTTCTATTTTTTGTATTTTAAAGATTCAGCATGTATTTTATGATGTTAGCACATCTTAATTTGGATTAGTCATATTTCAAATGTTCAGTCTCTAGCTATGACTAGCACCTGCTATGTTGGACAGTATAGAAGTTATAAAGATTGCGATAAATTAGATGCAGTGTAGAAGATATAAGATTTCTTGACAAAATAGATGCAGTGCTTGTGTGTGTGTGTGTCTGTGTTGAGGGCGCACAAGTAAGGAGGGAACACAAGACACTGACCATGACTGCCAGGTCACTGGTCTGGCTGGTTACTGCCCTTAATGGAGAGTCAGTGTACAAGCAGGAATAGCTTTGGGGAGGAGATGATGAATTTGGGTTTGATGTTAAGGCAGGCAGATGGAAATACTGTGCAGGGAGTTGAAAACGTCACCCTGGAGCTCAGGAGGTGGCTCTGGCTGGGGAATGCATGTCAAAGTAGCTGAAAGCAGGCATGTAAATGATCTAACTAACGGATGGCATAAGGACAAGAGCGAGAATGTCAGGAGCAAAATCCTGGGGGAAACTCAGTTTAAGGGGCTATAGAGGATTACAGTCTGCAAAGTAGACCGACAGGAACACTTGAGAAGCAGGAAAGGCAAGAGGCAAGTTACACAAGCTAAAGGGAAAGATACTCTTCGGAGACCTGCAGGGTCACAGGCTAGAGGTTTAGCAAATGTTTGCCCATTGGCTTGAGGGTGATGTGCTCTTTTTGTCCTTTGGGCTGGTGATAAGAGGGGCCAGGGATGAAGTGGGGGAGGAGTGCCGGCGGGGTGCACCAGGAGCTGGTTATCCTGGGAACCTTCGAGGAAATCATGGCTCTGGCCCTGGCTGGGCGAGGTCACTGTTTGCCCTAACTTGTGAAGCGGCACCTGCTCATCCACACCCCCAAGCCTGAGAAAAGTACCTGGCATTTGCGTCCATCCACCAGCCTCAGGTCCTCCTCAAACTCCACTCCCACCTCGAATTCCAGAATGTAGTTGTGAAAGGTGCTGAGGGTCTTCACCGTGATATGGCTGCCCTGCTGGTCGATCTCCTTGTCGGGCTTGAGCAGCAGCGCGATCTTGCGCAGGGCCACGTTGATGTCTGTGGGGGCTATCTCTTAGCAGGGCTGCGGTGGCGGCCCCTGGGGCTGGGAGCTTTCCCTCAACTGGGACTGCGGATTTGCTCCCTCCCAGCAATTCCCGGGCTGGAAACGGATCCCATGTCAGCTGCCAGTGCCCAAACCTCTCCAGCTCCAACCGGCCCCCCAATCCCACTTCCCGAAGGTTCTGGAGCCAGAGAGGAGAGGGAAGGAGAAAAGGAGCGAGAGGGGTCTGGGATGCAGGAGGCCGTTACTTAGGGCTTGCAGGTAGTCCTCCAAGTTCTTCTGTGAGACAAAGCGATAGTAGCCAGTGAGGTTGGGCGGCATCGTCCAAGCTGGCTGAGAGGATGGTCAAGATTCAGGAGAATTATAGGCTACAGGGTGAGGAGGGAGGGGGTGCTGGTGGCAGGTGAGGCTGGGAGACTCCCCTCTGGTCCCACTCCTGTGGGACAGGCTTGTGTAAGTGGCTGTGCTCACCAGGGTTTTTATAGAACCGGGCCCCTTTTGCAATAAGAGTTCCTATCAGACTTCCTCCCTCCCGCCCCCTGATGAGTCTGGGCTGGTGTCTGCAGCCTAAGGGAGGGGCCGGGACTTGGCAAAGTTCTACCTGACCTCGGCTTTTCCTGCGGAAGGAACCTGGAGCAGGGTCTGGGCTGCCACTCATGCAAGACTTGGGTCTTCTTGAACGTCAGTTTTGGCCACCAGCCTATTTGGGGGCAAACCTGGGATCCATTCCAGAGCCCCGAGGGGCAGTCTCCCATGGGAGCGGGTCTGGCTTGCTGCGCAGAGTGGGGCATCCTGAGATTCCCAGACAGAATCGGGAAGCCTGAGTCAGGGGGAGGTGCTGGGGAATGGAGGGACAGCCAACTGGACAGGATTTTATAGGATGAAAAATCCATAATGCCCCCACAGCTGCCTCTGACAGCATTTCCAAGCTGGGTCCCCCCCACCTCTGGCTTTGCAGATAGTCCTACAGGGTCATTAGCAGGGAGGCAGGGAGCGCCAAGAGGACTGTCAGCAGTCTGCAGAAGGGTTGGGTTCAAAGTTCTCCCAGCAGAAGGGGAGGGGTTTGGTCAGCTGTTCTGGAGAACTGCATACTCTGGCTTGGGATCTAGGGATTTCCCGCTCTCTCTGGAGTCACTGATGATACCCTCACCCCAGGTCCTCCCACCTTGGGCAGCTAGAGGTATTCCCGCCTTTGGCAGGGAGGACTAAAGGATTGTACCCCCAACCACACAAACGCACCAACCTCTCAAACCTTCCTTGGCTTGGAACCAGTTGGGCTGCTTTATCATGGTGTAAGGTGGGCTACTTGGAGGGGCGGGGGAAGATAGGCAGTGGGAATAATCCCACCTGGTGGCGAACGGTCCACAGGTAGGTGTGTGTGTTGCACAAACATCTCACTCCTCCAAACCCAGAGCTCTTGCCACGGCCATGCTGACCACCTGGAAGCCCCTGGACGGACCCTGCAACTCTAGGCTCTCTGAGGCCCCGGGTGTGGGTTCACCTCTTGGTTCCCAGGAGGCAGCAGGGACTCGCTGTGAAAAGAGGTTAATGCAGAGTTGGGGTGTGTGTGTGACGCAAACGCTGCCCCTCCTCGCCTGCCTCCCTCCCCTCTCCGCTGACGTCTCCCTTCGCCAGCGCCAGGCTTCGGGCATCGCTGATCTCCCGATGTCCCCGTCGCTTTCCACCCCCTCCACGGCTTTCCAGCTTCCTCCCCGGCCCCCGCAGTTCCCTTGCTCCCCCAAATTGCAGTCAGGGGAAAAAAAACTCTAACACATTCTCCGCCCCTGCTCCCGGGTCCCATTGGTCCCCCGCCCCCCTGCAGCGCCCGGGCCCCCAACCCCCCGATTGGCCCGCGGCCCCATCAATCCCCGCCCGGCGGTGCTGACGTCATCCTGCAGTAGCGGGGACGGGGTGGGAGTGAGCGGTGAGGGCGCAGGGCTGCGAGCCGCCGAGGAGCCGCCGCAAGTGCCCGCTGCTGCCTCCGGGCTGGGTCTGCCCAGGCCGGCCGGATGGACTAGCGCGGGCTGCGGGCTCCCTTCTGCCTCCGGCTGCCGCCCGCTCACCCCCGGCTCTGAGACCCCCTGCGTGCCTCCCCCGGAGGTGGCATCAGCCGGCAGGAGGCTCCCAGGGGAGAGTCAACGCCTGGCCCTGCCCTGCCCACCCCACACCATGACCCTCCTGCTGCTCCCCCTCTTGCTGGCCTCCCTGCTCCCCTCCAGCTCCTGTAACAAAGGTGAGCCAGGTGGGGGTGGGCGCGCGGAAAGGGGCCGGGGCGCAGGAGGTGGGGGCGGGGTGGGCAGGAGCTGGCGAGGCTCTCTGGCACATGACAGGTGTCCTTCTCCCCATCGCCCGCTTCCTGTCCTCTCCTCAGCCCTGCTGGCCTCTCACATGACCCTGGCCATCGCCTTGTCTCCGGTCCATCTCCATCCATGTGCTTCTCCTCTGGGGGATTTTGCTTCATTGGGTCTCCATTCCCATCTTGGGGTCTCGGGCTCCCCTGGCCCATCTCGCGCTGCTGGAGATAGCTCAGGTGTCAGAAGGACCTGCCCCTGCGGGGTGACATGCATCTCTCTTGGTGCACCGTTTTCTCTGGGGTGTGCCTGCGCTAGGCGTGCGTGGCAGCTCCATCTGCTTCCTCGCCTTCCCATCCCGGGGAGAAGTGTTCCTCGCAGCTCAGAGATTCGGAGCACGTATGTTTTGGCGTGTGCTTCTGCATCCATACCCTCACGCCGCATACAGCTGGGCCTGGGGCGAGCTGCCCTCTCTGGCAGCAGCAGACACCTTCAGCTGAGTGAGGCCGGCAGAGGGGCAGGAGGGAGGGCAGGGGTGTGTGTGGGGTAGAGAGCCCAGGTAGGTGGAGGGAGGCAGGAAAGGGCAGAAGTGGGTGTGGGGGGGGTGCTAAATGGGGGACGAGAGGAAAAGCTGAGGAGAAGGTAGTAAGGTGGGAGGGAGCAGATGCAAGGGGTAAAGGTGAAGGCAAACAAAAAAGAGGAACGAAGGTGCAATCTGGAAGCAAAGGTGAGGCGAGGAGAGGGAGCTAAGAAGAGGGTAAGGAAGAGGGTGGGTGGCCCAGAGGAGAGGAACAAGGAGCCCCAGGTGAAGAGCAGGAGCAGAGGTGTGGAGAGGGTGTCCACCTTTGGCCTCGAGGTGGCAGCTCCTCCATCCTTCTGCTGTGGCTCTTCACCTCATTCCCTGACCCCTGGCCAGTGTGTTAGTCTCCCGCCCCTTGCTGTGCTGCCTTCTGAACACCATCTTCTGGCTTTCCCCCATGCCGTTAGAGGGGATTAGGGTGCTCATTAGCAAGAAAGGACAGGCCTTCCCATATCAGAAGGCTTTTTAGGGTGTGGATGGAGGGAAGAGTGGAAATCAGGACATCTTGCTCATGATATGCTGGGACTGAGTTGCCTTTTGGTGACTCAGTTTCCTTCTGCTGATAGGTCTTCCTCTACCATGGCCCACTGATGGGCCGTCAGGGATGTGCCTTGGAGTCCTGGGGAGGTGGCATGATGGGATTAAAGCCAGCAGTGGAGGCTGAGGTTGGGGCCGATGTTGAAGGGATAGGAAGAAGGCCAGGCCCCAAGGAACATTCTTCCCTTTCCCCGTATCCCCTCAGAAGAGGGGACATAGTGGGAGATTGGTCCTGGTGGAGTGGGTGGGGGGAGATGATTGAGCGGAGTCTGGTAGGAGGTGGGGGAGGTCTGGAGGCTGAGTGAGTTCCGGTCCATACTGGATTAGCTGGTGGTTGAAGGGGAGGGGGTTGGGTTAAGTAAGATTTGGGACTAAGTCATGAATCTTTATAAAAAGTGGATTCAGGAAAAGTGGGGTTTGGTAACCCTAGAAATGTGCAGGTTATGAGTGTGTTCTCTTGGGTGTGGGGGTGAGAGGCAGGGAAGGGATTTGTCGTGTTTCTAGGCCAGCTCGCTAATCCCTTAGGATGTCTGCCCTGCTGGGTCCAGTTATTTGGCATTGATTTCTCTGCTCCATCCCTGTCCTTTTCTGTCCCCTCCCTCTGTCCTATATTTATTTCTCTTGTCTCCTGTCTCCTCTTCCCTCTACTATGGGAGAATGGCCTTAGGTTGGGCTTGGCTGGGAGAAGGCAGAGTGAAGAGATCAGCATTGAAATGAGGTGGTGGTGGAGAGGATAAGCAATCAGGACCTCGGGAAACTTCTAGATCTTCTTTCCCTAAACTCAACTCTCTCCTTCATCAATCCGTCTCTTTCCCCAGGGCCTACCACTGCTCTCTGAACCCCCAGTCTCACTCTCTAGCACTTGAAATCCCTAAAGAAAATTCTGCACCTTCTGATCATGTTTCCCATGGGAGATAGTGGTCCCCCTCCCCCAGGGCGGGCTGTTGCCATAGAAACGGCCTATCTTGCTATAGGAGAAATCTGTGACCTCCCACAGACCCTATGACTCCTTCAATAGCTGATTTCTTGTCCTCAGCCCTTCTTCCTGTGGGTGCTTCTGCAGGAGGGGGGAATGGGTGATGACACTGGAGTGGGGGTGCGTCCAGTTCCCCAGGGTTGTTTGGGGATGGAGGTCCAGCTCACAAGGGCTTCGTCTCCTCTCCCTGGGGGCGGTCAGCCAACAAACACAAGCCATGGATCGAGGCGGAATACCAGGGCATCGTCATGGAGAATGACAACACTGTCCTGCTGAACCCCCCACTCTTTGCCCTGGACAAGGATGCTCCCCTACGCTATGCAGGTAATTGGGGTTGGGGGATGGCCAGGCAAGGAGGGCAGAGGGTAAGGGAAGGAAGGGCTGTCCTGGGAAGGAGAGGAAGGAGACGGTGGGAAGAGGCCTTGGGAGAGTGAAAGAAGTGGACTCTGGAGGGGATGGGGTTACAGTGAAGATGGTAGTTGGGTGAAGGGAGCCAGAGAGAAGGACATGGGCAGGCAGATTTTGCCAGAGCTCACTAGTGGCTCTGAGGGGTTGCTGCTTGGGGAAGCTGGGGTTGGGGTGGATTTGAGAATCAGTGCTGCTTTCACATGTACACCAGAAGGGACAGGGGCTTGGGAGGAGAGGTGAGGCGGGAAGCCAAGATGGAGAGGAAAGACTGGAGGTGGTACAGGACACTCATCCTACCCTCCCCCCTGGGCCAGGTGAGATCTGTGGCTTCCGGCTCCATGGGTCTGGAGTGCCCTTCGAGGCCGTGATCCTGGATAAGGCAACTGGAGAAGGGCTGATCCGGGCCAAGGAGCCCGTGGACTGTGAAGCCCAGAAGGAGCATACCTTCACCATCCAGGCCTACGACTGTGGCGAGGGCCCCGACGGGGCCAACACCAAGAAGTCCCACAAGTGAGGAAGCTCTGCCCTCTGCCCCCTGTCCCCTGCTATAGGGCTTCCTCCCATGCTTCCAAGCCCTCAGCCTTCCCTACCCATGCTTTCTTCTCTTACTGTTTATAGGGTTTAGGGCCAGGGTCCTTGTACAACAG